GAAGGAGAGAGGGAGAGAGAGAGAGAGAGAGGCAGAAAGAGGAGGGGCGAAGGGGGGCGAGGGGGGGGCGAGGGGCGAGGGGAGGCGAGCAGAGGGGTCGCAGCGGCGGGAAACGAGGCCGCGATCTGGATCCCTTTCCCTCGGCTCCGCTCCCCTCCCCTCTTGCCTTCCCCCCCCCCCTTGCCCTGGGGGAGGGACTGAAGCCTTTGGACGTTTGGGTTGTGTTCACGCTTTCGAGTAATACTAGTATTCGTAGCATAGGTATTAACCGTTGTAGTATCAATATTGTTATTACGACTAGAATAATAATGATAATGATAATATTGATCACCACAACCATAATACGAGTAATAAACATACGAATGTTACGAATAATATTAATACTATTAATAGTACGGTTCGTATGAATGTGAATGTAATTAGTGGTAGCCTTTAAAGGTACCAGTACCACTGATATAAGTGGTACTCAAAAGACTAAGACCACTGATAACAATACTGAGAATATGTATACGCATACGAATAACAATACTGAGACGATGAAGAGTAACAAATATTACTAACAATACTAATAATGGTACTAATACGAGTAATACTAACAGCACTGGACATAACACAAACTACGACTTATTATACGACTACGAATGCCAGCGCTAAAAAATGACAGTAACACTACAACTAATACATAATAGCACCATTAATACTAAACGTAACGTAACAATCACATTAACATGACGGGGGAAGTGATTGTGGGAGATGATGGAAGGGAAGGTCATGGAGGGCAGGTGATCAGGGCAGGTAGCGGAGAGGGAGGGGAGGTGATTGAGGGAACCGGATGGAAGGAGGAGGAAATGATTGAAAGAGGCGATGGACAAAGAGTAGTGAAGAAAGGTGATGAGGAAGAGGGGAGATGATGAGGGCAGTGGAAAGGATAGATAACTGAGGGGTGGTAGGTGAGTGAGGGAAGTGACGAAAAGAAGGTTCATGAGAGAAAGTGACGGAGGCGTATGGCGTCAAACGCCTTCAAAATTCTCCGCGGCGACGAGGGGTCCCTCAGAAGCCCCCCTTCCCAAAAAAAGGCACGAAAACACACCAGAACCTTGATCCTCGGCAACCCTGTGTTAAGGTGGACATGGGGGAAAGCTTTTCTGAACCGCGGCAACCCACCCTCCCGTTTGAGCGCCTCTCAGGACACGCCGTCTGGCATGTTTGTCAAAGGGCACGAGTGCCTTCTGGACGGACTCCATCCGAGCCCCGCGCTGGAACAAAAACGTCCAAACTTCTAAAGGCGCCCGCCGGCACCGAGACGAAAACGGCGAGCATTAGCGAGCAGCGAACAACACAAGCGAAGAGGCGGCGAGGCGGCGAGGGTTGGCGGCGCGCACAAAGGGCTGGCGTCAAAGGGGGGGCGGCCTTCTAAGAAAACGGGAGGATCTAAAAAGGCAGGATGCTTCTCCGAAGGACCCAGAAGCGTTTACGAATCCTTCTCCGAATCTACGAAGGTTTCTGAAAGGCCACCCCTTGTGCCTTCTCAGACAACCCCCCGCCATTTCAGAGAGCCGATCCCCCTGTCGCCAATCCCTTATGCGCGCCGCCAAGATCCAGACATCCGATGATGTGTTATTTTCAATGCGCGGCCACAGAGGTCTCGACCACTTCCCCAAGGGCAAAGGTTGTCTCTATTGTCTCGGACGGACGCTTCGAGACGAATTACTGTTGCCAAATCACTTTCCTCCACTTATTTGATCCTCCCCTGCTCTTCTCCGCCCTTGCCTCTCGGACACCCAACCCTTTTCTGCATAGGGAGAGAGACAGAGAGAGAGACACGCAAAAAAAAAATGAAAACCATACAAGTTTTTGGATGCTCGCCGATCTAAATAAGTTGTTAAATTGCTGTGTAGCGGAGCTGGCACCCACGGATGCCCGGAGAGGGGCGAGGATACTTTTCCTCTTCTGTATACACTAAGCCAAAACGGCTCTCCAAAGTCATGCAACAATCGCGACTGTGACAGTACAACAGCACTGCACACGCAATATTACTCACATCTCCCATCAAACATCATGTTTCCTGGACTCCTCCTCGGGCCCATATGCAGCAACAACCAAGATGGGACACGTAGCATGAAACATGCCAACACTTGCCGCGAAAGACCGAAAATGGCAGCCAATCCTCCAGAAATCCACACGGATCGTCAGCCATGCCAAACTTGAGTTGGATCATGGCTCCTCGCACACAGAGCTCCGCGATCTGGATCTTCGCGCGATGGGAAGAAGGTCGGGTCAATTTCCTCCTGCGCAGATACTCCAGCTCCCCATCTACGGTCACAGCCATGAGCACTGATCGCAGCTGCTTGTCGACAATCTCCTCGGACCAAGAAATGTGAATCACGTCCTTCAGGCTGTGTTGCGCAGCTGCGTCCTTCGCGCACTTCGAGGCGCCCTCGCGCACACGCTGCAACCTGCAATCTAGAAGCTCGCCAACTTTGCAGCCTAGACTGATCACGACGACGGTCGCAAGGCTCGCCATCGCCATGTAGACCGCCACGGAGACATCGCCAAAATGGCCCCCTGTGCTTTCGCCTGTGATCGCGACCACCAGGGAAACTGGAATAGGAACAGCCGAGCCTTCCGCGCGCCCAAGCAGCGAAAATGTTTCGAGCCCAACCAAGCAACGCGCGAATACCTCCATCAACTCCACCGCAGGTTTGCCGATCTGGCCCTTCCTCACTCGGGCTCGCAACTCTACCAACCCCGTCTCTGCCTGCGAGTCGCACTCCCGTCGCGCTCAGATGCTTCATGAAACCACTCTTTGACAGACGCTTCTTTCCAAGATTCTCGGTATTCCCGTTCGCGCGGACGTCTCCTGCACCGACCTTCGTCTCAAGCTTGCGCGCAACAAGGCCCTTGATCCACGAGTCCTTCAGCTCGATGCATCGCGTCCTGCCGACCCCCTTTTCATCCTGACGTTCGTGGAGGCACTAGAGTTGTCACCCGCCAGCCTCAATGGCACCGTCTCCTCCAGCCGCTCCTTCAGGCAGGTCCGGGCCACCCTCGCCTCGACGCCCACGTGCGCGAGCGCATTCCACTCCGCCTCGGGCGACGAGAGCGCCGGGGGCCCCCGGGCCTCGACAAACCGCATGAACATCGCTCCGCTGAGAGACAACGGACCACAACATGTAGACTTTCTGCCGATAGGATCCTCCGCCCAATTAGAATCTGCACGCCCGATAAGGTAGAACTCGCCACTGTCGGGGTACATGCACGTGACCGCTCACGGGTGTCATGCGATAAACCCGATGATTCTGGCGAGCCCATGCATCCTGAACTGCGGGCCGCGGCACCCCCCCCGAACGCCCCTTGGCTCGCACTGGCATTCAGGCCTCTCCAAGCACACGGACATGTTGAGACCATTGACGCTCCTATACCTGGTGGCTGCCGTTGAGTCAAGCTCCTCCGCGCTCTCGAGATTCTCCTTGGTTCTTACCTCCTGGCATTGTGCTCGCTGTCTTTTCGGTCGGGTCGGCGTCGATGAGCTGCTTGACAGTTGCAAGCCACGCGCCACTTGAATGCCCTCGGGGGTGCGGAGCCAGCCGCGGCCAAGATGCTTGATCTCAGGACCTCCAACCAGTAAGCTCCAAAACCATTAGGAGAAAGTGCGTGCCCAACTCCAACGCCTTGATTGCGCCCTGCCCTGGACCCACCAGCGCACCGCCGTCAATACGCTTGGACATGACAACTTGAACCCCCTGATCTGCGAACGCACAGGGGTCCGAGAAAAACCACTTGAAAGATATGCTTGGGACATCACTCCGCCCTGTGGCAATGATTTCGACATGGTCGTCACAAACCACCATCGTTCCGTTAAGCCCGTAAACTGTCTGGATGAGCTAGATTACCCACTCGGACTTGCAAGGAAGATGGCAATACCCCCTCGGGTCCTCTGCCTAGACCAACTCCCAATACGGCACACACAGAAATGCACGCGACATATCGAAGAGGTAAATCAAAAAATCCTCCACGACAGCGTAGACCATGAGCAACTTAGCGAAAACGGAAGCGGCGTTGGGCAGCAGGGCCCACGATTGGTCTTGCTGGCCTGCTCGCCACATGGTCTCGCGCGGAGCCTGGCCGTGAGCCCGCCACTCTTCATCTCCAGAACACAGGCCCACGCGAGCGCCCTAGGTCCGCTCGTATCTCTGATCGACAGCCCCCACACGTTGTAGCAGTCGAACCGATCCATCTCGCTCTGATCGGCCCCCCACTCGTCGTCCTCAGTCCAGCCCATGACGACGCTGCACCAGCTGTTCTCCTTCAGCTCTTTGTCGACATCCGCATCCAGCCCCATCGTCGCCTCGGCGCTGAAGCCAGCCACGACTCTCTCAAGCTCGTCGTGGCCCACGGTCTGCCGGCGGCTGCTCTCGCTGCTTGCCGCGTTCAACTCCCGAACCAGCCGCAGGCGCGGGGGCCGCGACCACCCTCGGGCGCCTCGCGCCCCCCCATGAAGATATGCCTCTCGTGCTCGGCCCGACGCTGCCGGCGCGCCCATGAATGGCGCGGCGGTCGCCGTCGACAATGCTGGCCCTCCGTCGCGCGCGCGCGCCCAGGACACCCCCCCGTCGGATGTCAATTCTCGCCCTCGAAGACGTCGGCCTTCACCGATGTCCTCCAGGGCGCCCACCGCAAAGCCTCCACGGTCTCCATGTCGTAGCTCCCCCCCCGGGCCAGCAGCTTGACCGCCCTCGCTTGCCCTACCCCGGCGGCCGCGCCGACAAGGCGCGAGTTGCTCTTGCTGCTTCGCACGAGCCACATGCCCTTACACAAGGCCGCCCCTAGCTTGTCGGCCAGCTCAGAGCGCCCCTCGCCGACGACTGCCCCCCAAAATTCAGCGTCGGAAAAGCATGCGGCTTCGCCGAGAGCTCCTCGAAAGGCGCGCGACCACTGCTCCTCCACCGCTGGCACCTGTCGCAGCAGAACACCCGGTGGCGGATCATCCAGGGGGCGACGGGCATGTCCTCAATGAACTTCACGTTGCAGCGCCTCCCCAGAGCTAGCCGCCCAGTCCTCGGCAGGCCAGCCGCCGTCTTGACACCACTTTCCACCGGGCCTCGGGGCGCGCGACTGCCCTTCCCGACCAGACGCAGCCGACGCTGCGCCTTTGCCGACTCCCCCCCCCCAAGCTTCTCGACTCGATCGGCAAGGACTCCATTCATAGACCCCAGGGCTGGTTCACCATCCAACTGCGCCCCCATGCTCGCATAGCCGATCTCGCCCAGGCACTCGCCGACGGCCGCCCCTGCGCAGCTCTGGTCGCCCTTCGCCTCGACCGCAACTCCCATGATGTAGCCTGTTCTACAGCACTCGCCAACTGCCACAGTAAGCTCCCGCCCAGCTCCGTCCTCACCCAGGCCTCGAAAACCAGTCGACCAGGACCACTGGCGTAGCCAATGCGCTGGGATCTCGCGCGCGGCGAGGGCCTCCTTGACCTTTCCCCATCATGCAATCCTGGCACCAAGACTCGAAGGGCACACGCCCCCTTCCGACGGCGCGCTCTGACAAGTTCCCCTGATACACGCGCGGGCCTTGAAAGTCCAGGCGCGATGGGCGCCCCCGTCTCATCTCGAGCGCTCTCAGCGGCACCACGAGGGCCATCTCGTGAACTAACCGCTCCACTGTTGCTGGCCCCCCCCTTAGATTCACCGTTCTCGATGTCAGCCGACTCAGGCTGCTCGACGTCGCCAACGGTAGCCTCGCCTCCCACGGGGCCCTCGAGCTCCACAGGCAGGAGAAACGCATTCACCTTGCAACGAAGGTGGATCACAACAGTACCCTGTCTTGCCTTATCAAAAAATGTATTGCGAACTCTGGGAACTTGTGGACATCCTGGCACCGCCAGGATCAAAATGAACTGAATGTCCTGCATCATTCATCTCAGCAACCGAAAGAGCTCCGCGTCTCACCTCTACCGGCATTACGTTGAACTTCGCAGGGTCCTCGTCTCCGAATCGTAGACTTCTCGCGCGAGGGTCCGCTTCTCCCACGCACGAATGCCCTTTCCCGCGATCGATCGCAGCGGCTGGCCACGCTCGCCCGCGCGCGCACCCTCCTGCGAGATTCCTCGGCGCCACACGCGCGCGCGCGCGCGCGCGCCACTGTCCACGAGCATCTCGCATTCACCATCCTCCTCACGCCCGTCCGCGAACGCGAAAATCCAGCCCGCTTCTCCAATATCTCCTCCTGGGAGGACAGTTTGGATGTCCCCAGGTAGCCTAGTAGATACTCTCGACGCCGCCATCTGCGACGTCGAAGATCTCGGGCGGACCGCACTTGCTGACTCCGATCCAAGCTGTGGCGGGGACGCTGGTTGCATCTCCTGCTAAACTCCCGCTGCGGATCGCTGACCTCCTCCAGGCTGGCACGCACCTCCCCCGCACTCTCTGCTGTCCGCAACCTTGCGCCCGCACTTGCCGCAATGTGGGTTCGAACGCCAGCCGTCGAAGAGCTTCGCGTCACCCTCTTTCGCCATGCCACCCTCGTTGCTGCCCTTGTCTCCCATGTTGCACTTGCCACCTGAATATGGAAGACCGCTTGACTTCCAACCTTCGGACTCAAAACCTGCCGCCTCGCCCCCTGCACTTCCCCCTGCACTCGTAGCCGCCATTGACGAAAACGTATACGTCCATGGCGTTCGGGCGAACTTCTTCTTCGTGGCGGCCATCGCGTCCTTCTGACTCATCTGCTGCGCGAAAGCCTCGCAGGTGTTTTGTTTCGCTGAGGGCCGCGCATGATCCGAACGTCTGCATAATCACCTGCGTCCTGAATGGTTCGGGCGTTTTCTTCTTTATGAAAGCCTGCACCAAGGTGACCGATATTCTATCACAGCACTTCTCTTGTTACCTGCTGATGCCCAGCAGGAACTCGGTCAGCTCATCAACGTAGGTGCCCCACGCGCCTGTGAATTCCGTATTCACGAGCAACTGCAGCTGCGCTGCCTTGTTGGAATTCGTGGCTGCGTCCTCTCGCGAGCACAATCTCCACCACTACTCCAAGCCGTCTCCGTCTTCACAAGTCATGAAAAAGGTGAACGCACTGCCCGTGAGAAACTTTGACAGAATGTAGCTCGTCGTGTGAACGAACTGTTTGCTGTCCTCTCCCATCTGGGTCAGAATGATAATCGCACCGCGGGTGGTAGCCGTCACTGCCGCTGCCGAGAGTCGCGGGTCAATCGCCCCTAAACAGCTCAGCCGCTGAAATCTGAACGTCGGGACCTCATCTCGATTCCCGCTGTATCTACGTGGTCTGCCGAGCAGGCGTGTGTCCACAAGGCCCACACCAGCCATGACAGGAAAAAACAATCACGCTACCGCGCAAGTACTTGGATGTCAACTGGTCTGAACAGTTTGTTACTCTGTTGTGTAGCGGAACTGGGATCCACGGATACCCCGAGAAGGGTGAGGATACTATTACTCTTGTGCACACAGGGAACCATGACGGTTCCCCACAGTTCAACTGTCATGCACCAATCGCGCATGCAACAATACAACAGCACTGTACGCTCAACCTCACTCACATACCCCATGGAATACCATGCTTCCTGGATAAGGAAAAAATAAGAAGAAGGAAGAAAGGGGGGAGGAGGAAAAAAAAAAAAAAAAAAAAAAACAAAAAAAAAAAAAAAAAAAAAAAAAAAAAAAAAAAAAAAAAAAAAAAAAAAAAAAAAAAAAAAAAAAAAAAAAAAAAAAAAAAAAAAAAACGGAAAGAGGGGGAAAGCGGCGCACGAAATCTCGTGGCCCCGGCCATGCTACAAACCTTCTAATCATAACCCCCCAATGGGCCCCTTGTGATGACAGGCTCCCACAAGCCGACGCCAGGGAAAAAATCGGGACTGAACAACGCAATTCGCACCCTCGAAAATCGGTTTGACGCGGGATCAATGGGTAAGGGGCGACATCCGAACCCTACCCCCACCAACAATCGAGTCTCCTGACCAGGCAATGGCAAGCACAAGTTGTCCGGCTGCGAGAAGGAGACACGGGCGGAGCGCGGTCGGCGCCAACGGTTGGGAGGCCCCCCCTCGGCTCAAACGCGCCGCCGGATGTTCCCAAGGCGAGCGCCCGTGAAACGCGCTCCCTCTACTGTGCCCATCTCGGGGTTCTCTTGTAATTTTTGGACCCACCTTATATTTCCCCAAATCCCATAGCAAGCGAAAGCGCAAAGCTGCTACAGTCAATGATTTCCTGTGCGTTTCAAATGATGTTGGCGTCTCGGGTGCCTCCGTCGGAGATACTTGGGGTACCGGAGAAAGGGGATTTCAGGTCCCGGAGAGAGGGGCGCTGGGGTCTCAGCGAGAGGGGCTCGGGGGTGCCAGAAGGAAGCGCCTTTGGGGTACCAGGGACACTGTCTCTGAGGTCCGAGAGAAGATGGTTCTGGGGTACCCTATATATATATATATATACAGAGAGAGAGACGATTTGGGGTCCCAGAGAAGGGGCTCTCAGGGTCCCCGATGGATCTATATATATATATATATATAGAGAGAGAGAGGGAGGAAAAAAAAAAAAAAAAAAAAAATGAGAGAGGGGGAGGGAGAGCGGCTCTGGGGTCCAAGGAAGAGGGGCACTGGGGTACGAGGGAGAGAGAGAGAGAGAACAACAACAAAAATGAGAGAGAGAGATAGAAAGCGAGAGAGCGGGGCTCTTGAAGTTCCAGGGGAGGAGGAGGAGGAGGAGGAGGAGGAGAAGGAGGAGGAGAAGGAGGAGGAAGAGGAGGAGGAGGAAGAGCAGGAGGAGTGAGATCACTCACAGCGCGAAGGACATCGACTGGAGTGGCCCGGCGGCAAGCCTGCGCTGAGGCAGCCTGGCAGTGGACGCGGGGTGACATCGAGATCACACCCAGGGGCTGGACGCACGCTGCAGTGTGAGAACGAGGACCACGTCGTACCTGTCCGGGGGAGGAGAAACGAGCGAGCCCACAAAGGCGGGCGGCATCCAAGTGACAGGATTGCTGCATGGGGGGCAGGCGGATGCGAGAAGGCCCACGCCCAGAGGAGGGAAAGGCCGCAATGGCTCGCAGCAGCAAAATGCTGCAAGTGCACACAAATACACGCAAGCACACAGGAAGCTACCCAACCCGTTTGCAACAACCGACGACACACAGGGACGCAGTCCTTGCCCTGAAGGCCCGCGACGCCGAAGTGGTAGTGGGCCAGCTGCGGCAGGAAGGAGTCGTAGTAGGTGAGCGAGCTGATGAAAAAAATGCCGAGGATGATGCGCATGCCCCCGGCCACTGCCCACAGCGAACTGGAGGCCGTGCCCGCACACTCCCCAGCCCCTCCTCTCTCTCTCTCTCTCTCTCCCTCTCTCTCTCTCTCTGTTTTTGTTATCTCTCTCTTTCTCTCTCTCTCTCTCTCTCTCTCTCACCGTGACCTCCTCCTCCCCTCCTCCTCCTCCTCCTCCGCCTCCTCCTCCTCCGCCTCCGCCTCCGCCTCCGCCTCATCCCCTTCCTTGCCACCCCCTCCCTCCTCCAATTCCCTTTTGCACTTGACTCTGACGACCGCCGAGGCCTCTTTTGAGCCTCTTGGGGGCCTCTTGCCTCTTGGGGCCTCCTGGAGGCCTCTTCAGGCGGAAGGCTCGGATTGTCGGCTCGTGTTCCCTCTCTTGGATCCCGTTGGGGCCGTCTTAGGCGCCTCCTTGGCCGTCTTGGGGCGCTCTTAGGCCGTCTTAGGGGCCCTCTTGGGCCTCCTTGGGGGGCCTCCCTCTTGAGCCATCTTGGAGCGTTGAAAAGCCGAAAAAGAGAGAGCGCAAAAATATGTCAAAAACCTAAAGGGGATCAATGGATGTTGCCTCTTGGGGCCCTCTTGGGAAGCCTCTTGGAGGCCTCTTGGGGGCGTCTTGGAGGCCTCTTAGGCGATCTTGAAGCCATCTTGGGCGTCTTGCCCCGATCTTTGGGCGTCTCGGGGCCCTACTTCCTCCTCCTCCTCCTCCTCCTCCTCCTCCTCCTCCTCCTCTTCCCCATCCTACTGCTCCGCCACCTAAGGACTCGTCGTCCCTCTCCCAGTTGTGGTTCTCTTATTCCTCTTCGTACTTATCATTATTATCCTCCTCCTCCTCCACCTCCACCTTGACCTCCTCCTCGTCCTCCTCCTCCTCATCCTCATCCTCCTCATCCATTCCTATTCCTCCCGAAGCAAGCGAAAGGGCGGGCCGGGCGTTTCGCCTGAGACTTCCGTACCATGTATGACCCTGAAGCTTAAAATGTGGCAGCAGCTTCACAAACGGAGGGCGGGTACTTCAAGGGCTTCACGAATTGAGGGCGGTTCGTTTTCAACATGTGGCTCTCGCCTTAGCGCCGCGCACACTCGTCTTACAATGTTGCAAGAGCTTCACGGATTGGGGGCGGGTGGTTGTCACA